GGAAAACGATAAAGGTAATCTGCACTATTTGAACTTTTTCCGACCAGTATAAGACGGGTATTAATAAGGCTGACAATCAGAAGTTCTGTTTAAAGGCCATCACTAAATCTGATATTTGGCACTACCGATAGCTTAACTTATAGTTTTTTGGATTTTTTACGAATGCCTTATTTTTTTTTGCTTGTTTTGTGAAAAAATTCTTTTGAAAAATACAAATAAAAAACAATAAGTAGAAAGAAGCGATAAAAGCACGAAAGCAGTTGTAACACAAAGAGCAATTGAGGAAGTTAAAACCTATTTGAAATCAGCAGTCAACAAATGTAAATAAGAATACAGTGCCAAAAAAATAAATAAATAAATTTGGTAAGGCAATTTACTGTTTTTCCGGCTAACACTTAGTTTTCTTTTTTTTCGCACTAACATAGTAAGCTGGAAGAACATTACGATACCCTAATGTTGTAATGAGATATGACAGGTTGCAGTTGACAGTGGTTAAGTAAACTAAATAGATGCCTTATATTTGATAGTCATAATTACAAAGTGTTATTGACTGAGATTTTATTTAATTTATGTCCAATAGCTTTTTTCTATGCCTTTTCTCCCGAATGTTTCAACCTCTTAAAATATCCAAGAGTTGTGGTTTGATGCAGTTTAATGCAGAAACACTTTTCTTTTGCTCAATACTGTTGCTTTAAAAAGTAAACTGAGGCAGGCGCAAAGAAAGAAAAGAAATACATCGAAATAAGATCAAAATTTGATTGCCATTTGTCAATAACAGGATACTCACATTTACGGTTTTCATTTTTTTCAGGTACTGTCAGCTTTTGAAAAAATAAACAGAGAGAAAATGAAGTAAAGAAAAAAAGCTCAGGATTAATCATCAAAAAGTGTCGGCGCTCGAAGATCAACATAAACAAAAGTATCGCAGACAAAAAAGGTGTAAAAGGTGTAAAAGGTGTAAAAAAAGTTGTTATTAAACAACTGATTCTTTGAGTTATTAAAACTCTTTATTAAAAAAACAAGCACATTAAAAAAGATTTATAAAAATATAGAACAAAGATAAAGTAAGGTTATCATAAACTGAAGTAAAAAATTATTTTGTTACTTTCAAGAATGGTAAAAAATTTTTCTTTTTTTTGGTCAATTACCGCTAACAGTTACTATCGTTTAATAGAATTTTCAGACTCAAATTATTAATGCTATTGTCTTTCTGAACTTTATTGCTGCCAAATAAAGTTGAAGTTTGGTATGCAGAAAACAGAATAAAAAGTATGGATAGATAGCAATTGTCGATTGAAGTTTTTTTTATATTTTTGTCTGTGAGAAATGTTCGGTATTTCTTCGCTAGAATCTACAATAAATATATGCCCGGAAGCTCTGTGAAAACCCTAATAACTCAGCAAGCTTAAAATAAGCAAAAATTTGATAAATTTTTTTATTTTTAAAGATTATCTAACTTTGAGCTTTGGATTGTTAAGTGTTCCTTTAAAACTTCGAAAAACTTAAGAATACTTTTGAAATACGGCGAAAAAAAAGGAAAGCAAAACGAAAAAATATCACAAAGCCCAATCATAGGGAAGAGGAACCGTTTCGGATGCATAAAAAAATCGTGGAAAATTTATAAAGAAGATAAGAAAGAAAGAGAAGTACAAAGAACAATAGAAAAAAAGAAGGAGAAAGAGAGAAGAAGAGAGATAAAAAAGAGAATAAAAGAGAGAAAAAATAAAATAAAAAAAAGAAGAAATAAAGAAAAAGAGATGAGAAATGAGAAAAGGAAAAAAATAAAAGAAAGAAAAACCGAAAAAAAAAGGAAAAAAAAGAAAGAAAAAAGAACTGAATAAATGAGTAAAACAAAGTAAGAAAGAAGGGTAGAGAAGAAGGAAGAAAAGCGGATGTTTAAACTGTGTTGCCAATAGTAATAACAACCAAAGAAGTTTTCTAAAAGTAAAGGATTGGTTTTTCTGACCGTTATTTATTAGAAAAAGGATCACTAAAGCGTTCAGTCAACCAACCTTAAGAATCGGTTCCATTTGTCCAAAAAAGATAGCGACTGGTAATGTCGAGGAATTAATGACACAGGAAGATTGACGATTCAGAACTTTTTACCCTTGCCTTCTAAAACCCGAAAAATTTGGCTCTTACTCGAAAGTAGAATAAACTATCAAACAATCTTTATGCAGAAGTTCTCCTTCTTTTACAAACAATCAATGACAGCAATACCCATTGTCGCAGTGAAATAAAGTAAGGCCAAACACTGAAAAACAGGTAGAAAACCACAAATAATCAAAAAAAAAGAACTTCTACAAGAGAATACGTTTTGCCAACAAAATATCTGCCTGTGTCTAAGTAAAACTGTCGGCTGTTCCAAATCTTACAAACATTTTGTTGTTTAGCCGACAACAGTGACTGAGATAAAGCAAGAAGAAAAAAAAGAAGAAAAAACAACAAACAAAAAAATCAAAAAAAAAAAA